GAAAATAAAATCACTTTCCAAAACATAAACGCATGAATCAATGTGCATTAAATATAATTTGAAAACAAAATCACTTTCCAAAAAAAAAATACGCATGAATAAAGGTACATTAAAGATAATTCAAAATTTAGATAAGAGATTTAAAAATAAGTATATATATATATATATTACAAATACACATGAGTCAAAGTGGATTAAATACGTATTTATATATATTAACAAATACACATGAATCAATATGTATTAAAGGTAAGAGATTTTGAATTAAATGACCCTAAAATGAACATTTACATCTTTATATCTCAGCTGTGTACTTTTTTTCAAAACATTTTGTTCTATGTACTTTTTGTTAAATAAGTCTAATTAGGTGTACCGGCTTCCAAAAAACCCAAATATTAATTCCTTTTCTTCTTGGGAGGCCCAACGCAAAGTTACTTCCCGGTAATCGATCGTCGTCAAGAAGAAGAAAATGCTGCTCGAGGTATTGATCTCTAATTCGGAGGGCAACATCCTCGTCGAACGGTACCACGTGATCTTCACCATACATATTTTCTCACACAAACTGTGATTAGTAATTATTTGAACTATTCAAAATTCTTTGCAGATTGATTACATTTTGACCATAGTTGGTTAGCTATTTGTTTGAATATAGTTCGTTTGCCATTTGTTTGAATTTGACGGTTCTCTACATGTGTGTTGATTGTTCTTTAAAATTGTGACGGGAGGAATTAAATTTATGTTTCAATTCATTTTAGTTAGTTATAATGTTATTTATTGTGAAATTTATGCCTAATTTCGTCTTAACATTATGCTGTTACAGTGTCTTCGTAAAATTTGATGAACTTGATTGTGTATTGACATTGAAGTTCTGAATATTCCATCTGTTTCCAAATCAGGCGTTGAGTTCCATGATATATAATGTATGGATTCAGATACGAGAAGTTAGGGGTGACACTAGATATGGCGGCATTGGGGAAGGAAATTACCTTTTCTTCTTTTCCCAATTTAGACGTGTGGATGTAGAGAGAATTAGATGTAAAAGGTGAGGAACATGGGCATAGAGATATTAGCTTGTTAGAATTAAAGAGCTTTGTCTTGCACGTTGAAAAAAATGGCAGAATTGATTGATGTCAATTTTGTTGTGAACAAGACCCTATCTCTCACTTAGATGCAGAAGGTAGTAGAGCTCACTTTCATAAAAGGCCTAGACTGAATCTTGCTAGATGGTGAAGACGAATAGGAAGATGAACCTTCACTGATGGAGAGCAATTCATTCTCAGATGGCCACTCTAAAGGATAAGATGACCAGTCGTTTCACTATGGTATTGTCATAGGCAACTAAGACCAAAGTTAATTATAAAGGAATCAATGTTATGGTGCAAAAATTTGTTTGGAGATAGACACAGCAGCCTACTCCATGTATGAAAATTTGGGCTTTCTTGTTGGCATTGCACTCACCAGTTTAAAGGTATGATAAATATGGACGTTTGATTTGTCCATTCTTTAATTAATACACAAATTCTTACTTTTGAAATGAACCTTCATTTATTAGAATTTGAGACAAAACATTTAATATTTATAATCTTTAGCATTCAAGGTTGAAAATCAACTACAGGTAGCCACACCTGATGCATTTTGTGAGCTTAATTTGAAATTAGTTTTAGGAGTATACCTAGATGGAACCCTCTTTCTCTCTTTCGCATCACACACATTAAATGCACCCCCAGGGGAAGGGGCTAAGTAGGAAAGAGAGCCAGCCTCTAGGAACTTAGCTTTTGTGATAGTGCTGGTGGAATGTCAAATTTCTATCCATATGTTTCTTTGTGAACGAATTTTAAAGAGGGCACTGAGGTTGTAAATCTATTTGCGCAGACACCACATCTGTCGTGTGAATAATGTATTCAAATACTCTTTTTCTTATCTATTACAGATAGCCTAAGTTCTTCATGGCTTAATATCAAGCTTTGGAATAACCTCAAAGAAACATAGTCTATTGAATAACACCTTTGATATGGTGCCAACAGCTTCCATGAACTTATCCTCAGTGCTATGGTTTTAAAATGGATGCCCAACCCCAACCACCAAAAAAAAAAAAAAAAAGAGGAGAAAACCCAATTTTCTAGTGATTGGATATAATATGGTTGGTCACCTGCAAATCAAAAAGTAGATAACTGTCCCTCAATTTAGAGATTTATGGTGGGACTGGTAGAATGTGATAGAATAGGATTGCTAAGATAAGATATATAGGTATTGTTTGGATCAAAGGATTTCAGGTGGTGTTTGGATCACCATGGGAGGATTGGATTTGAATCCGAACCGAATCCAATCTAATGCAAAGTGGTCCGGATTGGAGGATTATAATGTTCGGATTCAAATCCTATCACATATTTGGATAGAAACCATTTGGTTTGTGGGCGCCATTCACATGTGAAGATAAAACATACTAAAATGATTGTTGCACCTTTGTGTAAAAAAATGTTATCCAATCCTATGCCATGTTTGGAATAGAATGAAAAAAAGTCCAATTCATTAGTAATGTCTTATTTGGAAAAAAAAATATGAATAAATTACGTATTTTTACAAAATATTGCAATAAATAGTTTGTTCATTTATTTAATTTTATTTGTACAATACAGTTTTAATCACAAAAATCATAAACAAAAAAATAATTTTCAACACAAATGCATAATTGTAATCCGAATATTATGCTTGCACTTAAAAAATGACAATTGGAGACAAAAGGTCTCTATTTTACTGTCGTTCATACACAAAGTACAAATTGCCTATTGGATACCCTCCACAACAAAATAAGGCGTACACCTTACTTTTTGGAGACCCTCCACCACAACAAATGACAATATGGTTAATGTCATAGAAATACATATATTGTCCTTCACAATACAATCAAACAACATACAATCAACACAAGTAAATTATAACATGCAGTAGTTCTACAAGCGTTGTTGCATAAATACCAAAATGACTTGTGGATCATATATGTAAATTCCGTATCGAAGTAGGGTGTATTGGAAGAAGTCAAATGTCAATGATTATAACATCGACGGTTGGGGCGAAATTCACCAATGAAGAGGATCTTACACTATCAGAAGTTTGTCCACCTGATGGTGGAACATTATTTTTGAAAATGACTTCAAAATATTGGTAGTTAGGACATGGGTCTAGACAGTAATTCACAGCAAATGGTACGTCCTGCATGATATAAACAACAAAGAGTTTAAAAATAAAAGGACCAAACAAAAAAGGATGTATTTTTCACTGAAAAATAATGATGCACACTTACTTCTAAATATTCATTCGAGCACTCCACCTCGCCTTTTATGTCACACTTATTGCGATTGTCCCAGGAAAATTTAAACGGCTCCAACATATCTGAAATTGCGAAATACAGTCGCTCCCAAAAAAAGATCATGTGTAAAACCTCGCTCAATGATAGGCTAAAGCTTGGGAGACGCCTGTGTAGGACCTCTAACAATCGATCCATCGTTTTCTTGTCAAATCTACCGTAAGGAGGTAATAGGTTCCGATGTTTGTATTCAATTAATGTATCAATCATCACTTCAGTTTCATCTGCACTAATATTTGGAATCTTGATCCCTACTAACACAATTGCAACTTCACATTAGATGCCTCAATGAGAAACAAAAATAAACCAAGTACGTATTGCTCAATATGGTAAAATGAAACACATAAGTGATTAGATTATACATAGATGGATATTCGATAATTCCACATTACGAAGCCCTTACTAACCAACTTACCTTTCAGTTTTCACAATTCAAAAAAGTAGTTATAAATGGAACAACTGCACAGGTATACTAAACAGGGCCTTAAAATAAATCCAACAGTCATCCAACTCTACTCAACAAGAAGTACACAACATGGGTGAGTATTACACCCAAAAGTAACATCATAACACTTATCATGCACCACATAATATCTCGCTGATATGCACATCTTTGCACAAGGATAGGAGGTGGTACAACATCTTCCAGATGTACTTGTTCATTAATATTATCTAACATCGCATTCTCTTCCCTTACAATATCATCATCATCTGCACCAACTGTTTCTGTTTTCATCATTCCAAGGTGAATGCGTAACGCAATCTCAGCCTCATTGTATGAATCATAGGACTTGTAAAGTGCACTAGAAAATCTATGTAAAGTGCACTAGAAAATCTATGCACATGTACATGACACTCTGGCCATAAATGGTAAATTCTAACCTGTTTCCCTACAAGTACGACATACCATCATTCCCGCCTGTGCATTGCTATTGACACCATAACATTGGTTTTTAATAACCAAAACTGAAAATAGTGTATATGCATGGTATCATACAAATGACCAATTAAAATTGGTAACCAAGCACCACTAATGGTGAAGTTGCATACACATCAGCATAAACAGATGTTTGTTTCATATATGTGTCCATACTAACATAATATTACAATAAACAAGAAGTTCAACAAACAAGTTAAGACATAGGGTGCGTTTGGTAACGTTTTGGTTTTTATGTTTTTTTTTTATGAAAAAAATAGAACAAAATTTTGTTTTCTTTGTGATAAAAATTAAAAATATAAAGCATGTTTGGTAGTCATTTATATTTAAAAAATTATAAAAACAAAAATAAAAACCATGTTTGATATTATACAAAAAATTTAACTCCCAACACCACTACCAAACACCGACCACCACCACCGAAACCCACCCACCAACCCCCTAAAATTCACCGAAATCCATCCCCACCCCAACCACCGAAACCCAGCAACCCCCATGCCCAGCAAACCCCATCCCCGAAACCCAACAACCCCATCCCCGAAGGTGCAGATTGTCCTTTAGCAACCTATAAATTTCCATGACAATCAAACACAAAAAGTCAGTCGCCAGATGATATATGGTGACTCACTACATATATTTTGGGGGATTTGTTGATCATACAATAGAAGCATAAGTGTGCTTTTGGGGCTCCCCAACAAGTTACTCAACAGGTGAGAGATGATCTTTCACATGGTTCATTATACTCTCAAGAGAACCATTTGCTTGTACTGCAAAAGTGTCTTCAAGAATGTTTTCAGCTTCAGGGACTTGCTGCAGATGTTCATCTGGGAAACTAGAGCTCTCAACTAGACCATTTTCGTGGATATTAGCTGGAGTTACAAATCCGGCCACTTGGAGATCTTCACCGAACATGTGATTGGAAACTACAGAGGACATTACTTTATTTACCAAACTAAGATTTTAAAAATAATCAGTGTTGCACTAATTGCCACATTTTCCATATAGAAATGATTTAATATGAATTCAGAGGAAGTTTTAGCTTTTTAGGTAAATGCTTTTAATATCACACTGTACAACCCCCATGCCCAGCAAACCCTATCCCCGAAACCCAGCAACCCCATCCCCAGCAAACCTCATGCCCGAAACCTAGCAACCCCCATGCCCAACAAATCCCATCCCCGAAAACCAGCAACCCCATCTCAGGTTCAATTCGTTTTCAGTTCTTCTTTGACTTCGGGTTTCAGCAGAGAGAAACCATGGATTCGTCTTTGATTCTTCTTTGGCTTCGAGTTTCAGCAGAGAGAAACCATGGCCACGACTTCGGTTCAGAAGAAAGACAACAGCGAGAGAGACAAATGAGGGAAAAAGGGGAAAAAAAAAAAAAAAAGAAAGGAAAGGGGCTTTTATAGTTCCAACCAAAAGTCCTAAGTTTTGTTGTTAAAAAGATTCGAAGTCATGACCTCATTATACAACCCCACTGAGGCGTGCGTCCTTTTTTTTTTTGGATGTTTATATATTTAACCTTGTTTTCAAAACGGAACAGTTAAAAAAATGAAAACAATCACCAAACAAGTTATTGTTTTTTTTTTTTGGCAAAAAGTGAAAACAAAAACAAAAAAAAAAAAAGGAAAACTCCCGGTTACCAAATACAACTATAGTTTTTAATGGTCCGCCAACTGATACAGAGTCATCTCCATCAAGTACGAGGTGTGTTCCACAAAAGTCCGCCAACCCCAGTAAGACATTCATACTCAGGCAAGTTGAAGAAGATATCAACATTTACAGGGTCTGAACAAATAATCTTAGGGGCAGCATGTCGATCCACCATGGATAGACCATTTATCTTCTCTAGTTCGGCATCAGCAGCATCGTGATTATACCCACACTATAGAGAAAAAAAATACGATCCCAATTCACTGTAGAGAAAAAAAATAACACATTTCTAGGCAACAACGAATTGATATTTACAATTGCTACAAAATTGTAAATATAGTTGGGACATAAAAAAATAGCAAATTTATTTAACCAAAATTGCATAAATTATTTCAACATAATATGGTAAATTATGCACATGTATGATTATCCAAATGCATGAAATTGGTTCAATTGTAACATATATGACCATTCACTAATGTGTTGTAATTAGGATACTATAAAAAAAATCACACAAATCAATACAACTCATGTCTGAGTCTATATTAGTTTCTTTATAAAAAAACCGAAGTTGGTGTGTTTACAAATAAAACCTATTTATTTTTTTTAATAAGTTACCAAATTAATCTGAATCATATAAAATGTTTTCAATGACCCAATGGTTAATTCATTTGTGTGTGGTATTTTATGTGTTTCATAAGCAAATGTAATTTATTTTCTACGAATTTAAATTTAGGACATTTTATTTTTCCAACTTGAATTAATAGCCCATCTCAAATTGAAATATTTTATTTAACAAATCTGTTTTGTATTGCTCAAATCTTTTTTTTTATAGCCCAAAGCCACTCATTAATTAATAGCCCAAATCTATTAAAAACAGCCCAAATCAGATTTTTATAGCCCAAATTCTCTCATTAATTAATAGCCCAAAACTTGTTAATTAAACAATTACCAATCATCTCATTAATTAATAGCCCAAATATGTTTTTATCAAATCTGTTAAAAACAGCCCAAATCAGTTTTTATAGCCCAAATCCTCATTAATTAATAGCCCAAAAATTGTTAATTAAACAATTACCAACCATCTTATTAATTAATAGCTCAAATCTGTTAAAAACAGTCCAAATCAGATTGTTATAGCCCAATTTCTTTCATTAATTAATAGGCCAAAACTTGTTAATTAAACAATTATAAACCCTCTCATTAATTAATAGTCCAAATATTTTTTTAACAAATATGTTAAAAAAACAACTCAATTTAATTGTTTAAGGCCAAATTCTCTCATTAATTAATAGCCCAAAACTTGGTAATCAACAATTACCAACCCTTTCTCTATCTGTATTTGGGTTGACGGTGGAGAGACAGAGAGCCACTCGGCTAAGATTTGGGGGGACCAGTGGGAAAGTTGTGATCCCCCAAATCCTTTGATCCCACTGGTCCCCTCTTCTCCTTGAATGACACTCTCTTTCAACTAGGTTTGCCCCTCTCTCTTTGTGTATAATGTCGTTTTCTTTGGTCTATGTAGTGGGGAACATGTATAAACACAAGTATAACATTGCATAGGATTCGATACAGATCAAAATAGTGAACTAACTTACCTCTGTGTTTGTTGTTTTTCCTCGATCTCTGTCTCTTTATCTTCTTTCTTCATTTGCTCGAGCTTGCTACTTCATATCGGATTTGATTCTTCCATGGAAGTAGCAGATCTGGGTAAAGCTCCACCGCTCAGTGAAGATCTGTCCATGGAAGTACCAGATTTGTCCATGTAGAACTACTGCATGTTATAATTTACTTGTGTTGACTGTATGCTGTTTAATTGTATTGTGAAGGACAGTATATGTATTTCTATGACATTAACCATATTGTCATTTGTTGTGGTGGAGGGTCTCCAAAAAGTAAGGTGTATGCCTTATTTTGTTGTGGAGGGTATCCAATAGGCAATTTTTACGTTGTGTATGAACGACTGTAAAATAGAGACATTTTGTCTACCATTGTCATTTTTTATGTACAAGCATAATATTTGGATTACAATTATGCATTTGTGTTGGAAAATATTATTTTTTTTAATGATTTTTGTGATTAAAACTGTATTGTACAAATAAAATTAAATAAATGAACAAACTATTTATTGCAATATTTTGTAAAAATGCATAATTTATTGATTCATATTTTTTTCCTAAATAAGAAAATACTAATGGATTGGACTTTTTTTCATTCCATTTCAAACATGGTATTGGATTAGATAACATTTTTTTACACATGGGTTCAATGGTCATTTTAGTATATTATATCTTCACATGTGAATGGGCCAAACAAACCAAATGGTTTCTATCCAAAGATGGGATATAATTTGAATCCCAACTTTATAATCGGGACCACTTTGCATTGGGTTCGGATTCCAATCCAAACCTCCCATGGTGATACAAACACCACCATAGTGTTGTGCAGCTTTAATGGAGTCCCAGCTGAGGAACGGCTGCATTGGCGATCTTTCTTAGTTAAGTTGGGGGCTGATAATCTTAAAGGTCTCAAAATTGAAGAGCTCCTCGTTGCTTGCCACAAGTAAGTAATGCCCCTTCTCTAATTTGACTACAGGAATGGTCAACCTATTTGTCACTGTTTATTTTCTGTGTTGGAAATTTCGTTAATTCCACTGATGGATGAGAAGCAATATTGAGAAACAGCTGAGGATTGCCTTCATATTTTTTCTAGATTATCTACTTTCAAACATGACTTTAACAACCAGTCAACTAGACCTGAAAATTGCAGTACAATTTGCATCATGAGAATATGTAGAAAGCCCCTCACTTGGTGTGTGGTAGCCATTCTTTGACAGATGGTGCTTAATTTTGATAACATTTCTCGACTGCCTAGGTGTTATAATTATCTGCTGGCCAATGCTGTCATCTTTCTATTTTCAAAGAACAAGTAATTTGGTTTTCAGATGTTACATACCAGTTCATTTCTTTTCAGATCATATTCCCTAAAAAATTTAAAAAAGTCCAGATTGTTTTAGTACTTAAGTGATTTGTTTTTAGCAGATGCTTGGTTTTAATATCAGAAAATTGCCACATAACCTTCATGTGATTTTTGGACCAAACTATCCATGAGCTAGAAGATGAATTGACATACTGCGAAGCTTGTCTTGCTGCTTATATAAAGGAAATTGTGGTTGTCACTTTTAAAGAAAATCGATTGATTATAGTTTTCGCAGAAACTCATTTGTCTAGTTAGTTGCATTACTGTTGTTTTCTTTTGCAGATCTGTCTATATTGTTTGCACAGTGCTTGGGGATGTCAGCATTTATGTTGTTGGCAAGGATGAGTATGATGAGCTTGCCTGTGAGTATATTCCTTTTTCCCATTTATGAGATAAACCTACATTAGGATGGGAAACACTGCCTCACTCCTCAATGCCAGCAACACGATGTATGTTCATTGTGCAAATGGTGGGCTAGGCCCCGTTTTTTTGTTGAAGCAAATTATGCTTAATGTGACTGCTACTTTCAGTTATCCACTGAGGATGCCTAACCTTAACATATGATGGTTTCGTCCATCTGTTGCCTACCACTGCACGCCATTGCATCATTTTGATACTGAAAGTGGTGACATTGTTTCCCTGAAACAAAACAGATAACAATTCTATTAGTTTTATGGGTGCCATGTTGCATGCTTTGTTCTTGTAAGTTGTAATGTACTGCACAATATTAGTATTTTGTTAGTCTTTAATTAAGCCACTTTCTCTTAAGTGACAGAAGCAATTTTTGTTATAACCTTAGCTGTGAAGGATGTGTGTGGGAAACCTCCAACTAAACACCTTTTCCTGGATAAATGTGGAAAGATTTGCATGTGTCTGGATGAGATTGCAGGGAAGGTAAGGAGGTGCATAAACATTGTTGGACTATTTTTTGTTGTGTATTTAGGGTGAAACATTCTTCAATCAAAAGGAGCTCCATTCTTTTGGTTGTATTTCTTAATCTGAGCATGGAATTGTGTTAAACTTCAAGTTCACTAGTCTAATACCATCGAGCATCTGTAGGTGTTAGCCTGAGTAATGAGTATTCTGCTACCATCCCTAAACGCATGGTTCAGTCAAGAGTGGGACATGGTCACTTGGGAAAAAATAAGGGACCTTCCAATGGAAGCCTTTTAATGCTCTTAAAAAATTGATGTTGCTGACAATTGTCATCATAGACTCAACTCTTTGCCACTCATCAAGATTCAAAGAATCGGCCTTGAGTCATGAGTCGTGTCCGACTCAACCACTACCAATCCGATAATAATACATGATATGAGAATATCACGAGTCCCCTTGAATCGGTTCTGACTCGGTCAAACTCAGTTCAACTCGGACAATTTGAATCTGAATCGATCTGAGTTGCAGATAATCGGTCACCAAATCCCACAGAAAGAAAATGCCAAAGAAAAAGGCAGTAGATGAAGTAATCCAAAAAAGGCATCCAAGCAAAAAAAAAAATCCAAAGAAGGCAAATTGAATACTGCAACATAGTGAGAAACTGGCAAAAATCAAAGAACAAGAACTAGAAATTGAACCCATACCAGAAAACTCGAACATTGGGAAACAGGTTCCCTTTCCTTCTTCTTCTCCCTTGCCTGACATCTTGAGGCTTCTATCTGACAGCCATATGCATTCTCTCTCTTTCTCGGTGTAAGAAGAGTAGAGTAGACACGTAGTGGGTATGGGACCTATGGGTATCTTTTGTTAACCCTAACTAGGTTTTCTTTTTCTTTTGTTTTGAACGAATTTGTCTTGGGTAAATAATATGACTTCTTTTCTATCATTTTGGATGAGATTGTCCTTTCCTTTGGATAAATAATCAGACTATGGATAGTTTCACTAATAAACAGAATTAGTAAATGATTTTCTTGTTCTTTTTGATTTAGTCGTCAAAATAGTGATTTATCTATTGCCAATACATTTTCTTAATAAATTACATAATCTATTTCAACATCAAATTTTAGACTTGGTACAATATAATTTATGATTCTCAAGTGTTTAGAACACCAATGATGATATGTATTTTCGGTAACGCTCTAATACTTGATTTTCACTATGTTTAATGTGATAGGTGATGCATTTTGGACATATGATGCATAAATATTGTTGTTTATACTTTTTAAGATTTTTCATGATTTTTTTAGAATTTTTTGGGCTTTCTGTCTAGCAATTTTTACATATCGGCCGATACCGTGCCTTGAACGATGTATATCTGTGTCCTCCGAGTTGGTAGCCGATATCGCGATCTTGAACCATGTTGCCACTATGTCATTTGATTGCCAGCTTACTATCAAAATCGAAGTTGTGAAGGACCTATTCATGAATTAGAGGGACCTGTGATCAAATCTCAATAAGGGGACTTTGTGGCACTTGCATGTGCTTGTGCAACAGGGTAGAATGGGGGTGTGCTTGCCATTTAACTAAAAGTAAGCTAATATGATACGTTGAGAGCTTTGCTTTCACCATAATGAGTGAGCATTTCTGTTGCCTTTTGTGGCACTCTTTAGCTTTAGTTTTTTAACAAAACTGAGCAGTTAAGACAATGTAAGTAAGAACATTATGCATACTTCTTGGCAAACTATAATATTTACATGTTTTTGTTTCACATTATGCTGTCATGTGAATTCTTGCTTATGATATTGTAACCTTTTTGGTTTTGAAAGGTTTGCTCGAAAACACGGATAGTTTTCGGACAAAGATCTGATCAAGAGACTTGTTAGATTGAAACCCCCAACAGAGTTCTAACTGGGGAAACCCTCACTGTCCAAGATCTGCTGGAGAGAATCAGCCCAAGACTCGTGTGGTATGCTTTATCTCTTGGAAGGTCGTGATGACCTCCATGAATTCTCTTTGGATGCTCTTTTCCATGCATTTCCAGCACACAGATATATATAAAGAAAGAGAGAGAGAGAAAGAGACAGAGACAGAGAGAGCTTGATTATGGAGTAGTCCAATTCACTACTTTATGGAGTAGTCCAATTCACGAGTAGTTCGGCATCTTGAAATAGTCGATTAACATCATTTGCTGTACAAATAAGCTATTGTATCTACATAGCTTGATTAATTACGTAGGAAGCACGGATACTGGCGAGGGGGGAGGGTTCGTTGTGGCAATGTCAGACACATGTCTAATAATTCCAAAAGTGTCTTGAACAGGAGATACACATTTTTTGCAATCGAATATGGTTCAGATACGTGAGGATACAAAAGGAATACAACAGGGTTTCTTCTATTATCTTACAAAATTGAGGTGCTGAAATGAAAAAAGAAAAAAGAAACGAATCAAACGACGTTGTTTTTAGGACTAGAAAAAGAAAAAGAAAAAAAAAGGGGGAAATTGATTAAGCTTTGATCGTTGTTAGTTCCGTCCACTAGTCTAGAATTGAGAGAGAGAGATAGAGGGAGAGAGAAGGAGACCAAAGGTTTCAATCAAACCTCTCCACCAGATCTGCTTTGGGAATGAGGAGAAGAGGAGGAGAAAGAGGGAGAAGACCATACCTACAACTACGATCTGTTGCTACCTGCTGTTGTGTATCCACTATTCAGATCTCTAGATCTGTTACTACTTGTTGTGTTGTGTATCCACCATGTTCATTTTCTTTTTCTTTTCTTTTTTTGGGTTTTCTTAATTTTGTGCAATGATTTTGCTATTTAGGTTTAGATTTATCTGTTTTGATAATTGGATTGGGTTAGGGTTTTCAAATTTTGGGAGATATTTTGGGGGATTATATATTTTGGAGATATTTTAGAGTTTTAGGTTTGGATTTATCTCCAAATCTGCCGAATCAAAATTCAAAAGTATATCTAATTATGCCAATTTTTAATGTGCTGCTGATCTTTGCTAGATTATGTCGATTGTTAAACTGATTATGCCTTATTTTATTTTTTGGTGCTTTACACTCTTTATTTGTTTTTGTTGTTTACAATCATTTATTTGTGTTAGAGTAATCTAGTATATTAGCATTAGGGGTAGATTAATCATTTACATTACTATGTTGCCCTAGTATAAATTCGTTTGTAATATAGATCTGGTTTACACTTAATCAATATATTTTTCTCTTTCATTGATAAACATCAACATGGTATCAGAGCATTAATCCCTAAACTTAAATAATAATCCCTGATTCAAGTCTAGAAGAAGAGAACCAGATGAAACCGATGCTAAGACATGGTGAACCCCGACGACCTGGTGAAGCATCAATCTCCGACCATGAACCCCGACGACAACACTGATGTCATCATCGCCGGTGATGATGTCATCAGTATCCAATCGTGAATACAACCACCTTAATCAATTCTTCATGGGCTTCTAATGGTGTGCTCCCTTTCTTGTTTTGAGCTCATCTGGTAAAGTCTTCTGGTCTGGTTTCTTGTCTTCACAGAAGCCGACTACTCCTCTCCTCTGTTTCTTGCTTCTAGTTTGGTTTTTGGCTTGATAAATGCACTAATTGCCTCTCTCTGTTTCTTGCTTTTGGTTTGTGGTTGGACTTCTGGTTTCTTGTGTGATTGGATTTTGGTTTCTTGCTGCTGCTGCCTCCTAATTCTCACTGGACTGTTTTTCTTCTTGTCGAGTTGGTATTCAGTGGGTCTTTTGATCCACTAGTGGGTTGTTGTTTCCCGGGGCCTTGACGTTTTTTGTGGATTTTGTTTGCTATCTACTAGGCTTTGTATTATTGCACTTTGGTTTGTTGGGCTTTGTGACTAGTGACTTTGCTGGGCATAGTTACTGGTGTTGCTGGGTTAGATTGTTATTCGGTGTTGCCGGGTTGTTTGATCTCTGTTATTGGGTGTTGCTGGATTTATTGTTATTTTCTGCTTTATTTTAGGTATTATTTTGTTGAGACCTCTTGTTAGCATTATGGCAAGTGGACATTCTGATTCTTTGTAAGCTATTAGTGTCAGATTAAATAGTAAAAATTATGTGTATTGGTCTTATATTATGAAGAATTTCAAGTTGGGAAAAGAGATATGGAGTTATGTTAGTGGTGCTTTGCAAGCTCCAACAGATTCGAAGGCAAAGAAATATGTTGAATTAAAGAATACCTAGAAAGTCAACAATGCTAAAATTATCACTTGGATTAACAACTCAGTCGATCAAACCACTGGTATGCATTTGGCTAAGTTTAACACAGCCAAACAGATTTAGAATTATTTAGTTACATTGTTTGTTCAGTTTAATTTTGCAAAGAGATAACAGCTTGAGCATGAAATTCAAGTTGCACATCAGGGTGATAAGACCATATAGGAGTTCTACTCAGTTATAACTGGATTTTGGAATCAGTTAGCACTTACTGAGTTAGTTGAATTGAGTACTCATATAGTATATCGTACTTTTAGGGAGGAGTAGCGGTTGGTACAGTTTTTGATGGCCCTTAGAGATAACTTTGAGGGCCTTCGTGGTGCTATTCTCCATCGTCTCCCACTTTTCACAGTTGATGCAGTAGTGAATGAGCTTCCGGCTGAAGAAGTCCGTCTTAAGACTCCTTCTGGAAAGGGCCTTCTTTCATTGCCCAATCAAACTGTACTGGCTATACCACCCAGAGAGACTCCTCATTCATAAACTAAATATCAAGGTCGAGCTGCTTCAGATAAGTGTAGTTTTTGTCGTTAAAAGGATCATTGGAAGACTCAATGTCCTAAATTAGTGAACAAGATGCCAAATGGGCCTTACATCAGCCATTTAGACCCAAAGATCGTCATACAGTTGCAGCTGCTTCACCAGTGGATGAGACACTCCCATCAATTTCCAGCATGACTATGATAATTGATCAATTGCAAAAGCTTTTTTTCCTTCATCAACCAGGTGCCCTATCAGTTTCTTCTTCCGTAGGTTCATTTACGACAGGACCTTCAGG